GGGGGTGAAGGGGAAGGGGTTAGGTTGGGGTTTTTTTGTCATTAAACTACTCCTGAACATTTAGGTCTTTCTCTGCTAATTGCTCGTGTTTATAATGCTGAATCAAACTATTCATATTTGACTTCCAGAAACTCATATTTTTAGCACTTTTGTAGCTAACTAACTGTGATAAATGTGAAGTAAATGAGGACATTTAGCTTCTCATTGGCAAAAGAACAAAACTAACTATAGCTGCTTCAAGTTTTGGTTGATGAAAGACTTGCTATGGGCCTTTATTTCAGGAAAAATAAATATAATACTGATTATGTAAACTCTTATTTCTAAACAAATATAACTCTGTAGCTCTTCATAAAAATCTTAAAGGAAGTACACTGAGAAGCCCTAATTCAAACCTCAATGTCAGGCAAACACAGTCCTTGCATGGAAGGGACCTTCTGACTCACTGTGGCATCTAAGAATTTATGCCACCTGTGAAATAGAAGGTAGAGACTATCTGATTGTCTGGTGCTGGATGTGCATTGAATGTTCTCAGTTGAACAGGAGTTGCAGGAATTGCTGACTCTGAAAATAAGTCATCTTTTTTGGCCTCCCAATTGCAAATGTAGTCACAGTCCAAAATCTACTACTCCCTTTTTCCATAGGGGTATTCTGTGTTCACCTAATAATAAACAAGAACTCTGTGGAAAGCAAAGCATGTATTGGTCATTATGGGACTAAGATGGGACTCTTGGCCATGAGATCATAAGTGTGGTAGCTGTTACACTTTGTCGTGCTTTGTTACTGCCCCATGTAATGCTTTGTTCTTGCCTCTGAGTATTATCTTGACCTTCTCTATTTGCTCAGGGTCTCAGTGAAAACTCTAAGTGTGTAGATGCTCACTTCTCCATCCTCCTGCCTTGACTTCACCCATTAGCTGTAGTTGTAAGCACTCTTAAGATGGGGACCAACCCTCAGTTCTTTTTCATCTCCAGTGAGCACAACTGTTCTCTCAAACATGTCCCTAATAAGGACAATTTGTTGCCCAGCTACTTTGCCTTTTTCGCCATAATATAGGCTATACGCTGTGAAATGGGTCTGTTTTATTGGGCTGAAAAAACAATGCTCACCATGAAGGAGCGTTGTTAAAAATGATGTTCTTCTCTTTCAGAGCTGTTCAAAAGATGATTCCATGAATGTTTACGACAGGTTAACTAAGGAAGAAGAAATTCATTCTTTAATTTTAACAGAAACTCCAGAGTGCACTAATTCTGTAACAGAAAACCAATAAACTGTGCTTTACCAGTGAAAGATGAGGAAACTTTGATCCCTGCTCCCGTACCTCAGGTGACAACATAGGTGTGAAGAGGCCTGCAAGATATTCGCCAACTTTCACCTTACTTAATCCTCACTGAGTCTTAATTCTCTGATGCTCAGAAGATGCATGACTAACAGTGGCCGTTCCTTAACCTCTGCTAGAAATACTTGTCTTGGATCATTGAAGATGAGCACGTACATAAATTTCATGTGACTGCATTGGAGCATCTCTCGTTGTGGCTCCAGCCAGCTCTGCCCTATTACTTGTCATTTGCACTCGTGTTTGTGCCTCGCGTTAGACTGTAAATGGGTTTTTTTGGAGCAAGCACTATGACTGCTCTGAAGTATTTGGCTCTATTTTGCAGCAGGTGACATGAGGCTTGTTTACAGTAGATGGCTTATTAGTGCTACTATGTGGAACTGCTGCCAGGTAGGATGCCAGAGCGTGGGCTGTTTGTGGATGGCCCGTTCCGTGTGCTCCAGGACGGGGCATTTCCAGAGAGCATTTATGGACTCGCCTTCTTATGCTTCTGGTTAATGCGCATCAGATGTGGCCTGGTCAAACCCTATGAAAGAGGGTTGTTTTTTCTTTAAAAATGTGTCTCTGCTTTCCAGCTGGTATTCAGACTATTCTTAGAAAAGGCATAGTTTTTTATCTTTTCAAGTGCCTGCACTCAGATGCCTTGCCTTCATGGACTTCTTGGGTTAATTACACTTTGCTTAAAATTATAAACAGAATTTTTTAACCTGTGTTGTGCGGTGGCATATGACTGTATTGAGTCTCACTAGACTATGATTCTACTTTGGCCATATTGGCCTGAAAACACCTGATTTTTGGAAGCTAAGTCGTCCTGAGATTGTCCAGCAAAATTACCAGGATGGATGCATGAATCTAAGGAGCTGTGGTCAAAGTAACAAGTGCTAAACCACTGAAACAGAATTAATTCAAAGACTTCAAGACCCATCCTGACTGCCGAGCTGATGGATTTGGGGGAAGAGGGGATGACAACCTTGGCCTGCTTTTCTTTGTATAGTGATGATGAGGCTGTGATTTGAGCTTCCCCTCTGGGAGCTTAGCAATTTAAAACAAGGTGCTGATTTGACTTTTAAAAAATGTTTTCTTCTATATTTTACTGCAGCGGGTTGATGACTTCTTTTTTTATAAAACTTTAATTGATCATTTCTTGATGGGTTTTGTTTTTGAGGTTACTTTGCCCAACAAAGCTCAACAGATGTTTTCTGGCACAACTGTGACATTTCTCTGCTTGGAATTCTGAGCATGAGTCTCCACCCTGCGCTTGCAAGGATGTTAACAGCAGTACCTTGGTTGTGCTGGAGGCAGAAAGTAATGTAACTGGGAGAAAGGGATCCATGCAAGCTCTTCATGGTTAGTGTTCAAGAATATCTTGCTCCTTGTAGCTAAATGCAGACAGTCATTGATACAGTCAGCTTTAGCATACTGGGAAGATAGATCCTTGGAGGTTTGCTAGGAACAAACCTTTTTAAGTTCAGCCCTGACTTAAACTCCATTCAATCAAAAATCTGAAATGAAATGCTACCGGTTTAGAACACATTTTTCTGCAAAAGTAGAACTAATGAAGCTTGCTTTCTAGCTACAGGTTTGTATCCTTTACCCTCTTACATATTGCCTCCCTCTCAAAATCCAGTTCTTTCCCCAGTCCCTGCTGAGCTCAAATACTGTCCCCACTGTCTCAAACATACAGTTTTCCTCCATGTCTTTTATCTACCTCTCATTACTGGTGGTAGAAAGGGGAGGAGAAACATCGCACAACTAGCAGACCCCACATTAGCTTAAATCTTTTACTTGCAATCGGGCTAAAAAGAAAAGACGTGATAAAAATTGGTTTTTATTATTATATAATTGGTGAGACAAAACGAGAACAAAGCCTCAGGGATTTCAGTGAGATAAAACTCAGGTTATACAAAGTCAGCCAGCAGCACTATCTGATATTCCAGAGGTAAAAGAATAGCACAGGGGAAAGGGTAAATTCCTGTGCCAACTTCATTCCCTCTTCCCCACAACTTTTATATCATTACAGTGATATAAATATTTCTCAGATCTACCTCATCTAGAATGTTGCTCATCATAGACCACTAGACAAACAGAAATGTATGATTTTAAGATAAGCATAACAGTGTAATATAAAGTTTTGTGGCTTTCAGTGTAGCAATCTAGGAAGATGATCCTTGGTACTTTACCCCAAATTCTTTTGACTTTTGTTTTGGTGTTTATGGTAAAACCAAAGTTTAGTTGGGGGGAAAAAAAAAAACCAACACCAAAACAAAAAACCAAACCCAAACCAATTCATAAAGTCAAAGGAGTGGAAAAAACAGACAGAGAATGTTAGGGCAAAAGGAAGATGTAAATGAAGAGGGTGGTTTAGATCACTATGTAGAAATGTTTTGGGTAATTCTTTGTTTCCTGAATAATAGTAATTGACACACTTCCTAATGGATGGATTTCTTGCGCCTGTGTTTTGGCATGTAAAGTAAGCGTCTCAGTGTGTTTTCATCTTTAACTTTCTTTTTTATGGTTAGGGGTTTTTTAGCTTGAAATTTTCTGTGTTTTGCTATGGTTTGTTTGTTCTTCAGTGTAGTTACTTGATCTGTAAGTTTGTTTAAAGAATGAATAAATAAGTTTGAATGTTTTTCAGTGTACTTGCATGGCATTTTGTTCTGAGTCGAGAAGATAAACTGAGACAAAAGATGGCAGTGGTTTAAATGAGAAACTGTGTTTGGGGCATGCGGAGGTTGGAAGAAAAACTGAGTGTTGCTTTGCCCTCTTCCCTTTCTAAAGTGAACTCAGCCCATGCAATCTGTGGCAAATGCTACAGCTCTTGGGTTTTTTTGTCTGGGATAATGAAATGGAGATGGAGCTGCGCACAAGACTTGTGCTCTCACCTTGTGTGTACTCAGTGCCACACCACTTTCAGACATTGGCATGTTTTTTCCTAATGCTGTAGAGAGTCAATAAATTCTCAAACTGGGATTTAACTGAGGTTGCTGCAGCCTTACCAAATGTAGCTCTAGTGTTTTATGGTTTTGGTTGCTCAAGTAATTGAACATGCCAGGCTGCTAAACTGATGAAAGTCATTACCTAGTTGCTCAGACCCAAATGTGTTCAAGTGCCAGATAGGCACATTAGCAGTGGATTCTTTGAAACATTCAGAGAAGGCATACTTTGTTCCCTTCAGTTCACTGAGCAGATCATTCAAAATTAAGGCATAAACTGTGATGTTAAAATGCAGGACTTTGGATTTTTCTTTACCAGTTCTATAGTTTTGGTGGCAATAATGACCAACGACAATTTTAATCACTCCCTATAGGCGAGCTTTTCCTAATTTTAATACATTATGTTAAATAAGTTTTATGTATTTGGTATCCTAGAAAAATTAAGTAGTTCATTTCTCTTTTTTGTAATTAAGGAATGCCAAGACATAGTTGAACAGCTTTAAAGGTGTCAATAGACAAACACACCAAATTGCAAGCCGTAGTGTTTCAGTGCTTACTAGGTAGAACTATTCACACATTAGGTATTTCCATTCACTGGAAAGTATTCAATAAACTTAATTATGAGTTGGAACTTTGGGTATTCAGAATTTCCCCTGGAAGGAAAATGATTTATTTTTTTCATTTGAAAGAAAATAAGTAACATTTGAAAGAAAGTAAGTAACTTTCAGTTTTGGAGGGTTTTCCCCTCACTCAAGCAAGAGCAAGAAGTAGGTGAGTAGAAGCCCAGGTATAGTCAGGCTGCTGCAGAAACCTTCCTCCCTCCTTCTCACCCCAGCACTACGGTTGGGCGATGGAGATCTTCAGGTCCAGGAATGGGCACAGTGAGGCTAGGAGAGGCAGATCTGCCAGAGTTATTGAAGGCTCATCAGGATGATTTTCAGATACTTCAGTTTTACTGAATATTTGCAAAAAATGGTTTATGGGAGCAATCCCCATGGGTTACATTGCCAGCTGTAGAAATGTGGCTTCTAGATAATACTTACAATCCAAATGTGAAATCAGATTAAAATACCTCTTTTTAGATGAGCTTCCTGCTAGCTGTGTTGAATCATGGTGAATATAGGAGACTTGAGATCACTTTGATGTAACTAAATCCGCACTATCACCACAACAAAGCAATACGGGTTTGGGTGGGAGGCACAGGAGAGAGACAAACTTTCTTTTAGGTCCGGAAACTCTGCCTCGGGTTTGTAGCGCGTAAAAGCCTGAAAGCTTGTTGATGACTTTTGAGGGGGGGTGGGGGGCATGGGGTGGGTGCTCTCTTCGACTGTGTTGGTTAGGTTAATGAAATCCGTTCTCTCTGCTTGTAAACCTTGTGGTGTTTATCACTAAAGTATCCATTCCACAGCTGTACTCTGATTATTGCCAAGTAGCCTTCTGAAGGTAATAACTCAGTGGGAAAAGATGATCGCTGTGTTACTGCAGAGCTGTAGAACAGTCAGTGTATTCTAGTAATACTCTCCGCTCCTTGTTTTGCTTTTGCCAAAGTGCTGCAATTATTTTGATGATTCTTGCACAAAGTATGTACGAAGAAATGCTTTCCAGTTAACCAGTACTTCCAGTAATCACATTCTTAGCTTATCACATTGAAGTTTTCCTCTATTTAATTTGGCACAAATTGCTAAAATGGACTTGGCTAAAAGCATGATGAGATTGAAAGCTTTAGAGGGAGCTTTCATTTTTTGGAACCTGGACAATATTTACTAAGCTAGATCAAAAGTTACGGGCAGCTTGAACCAGGAGTTGAACAGTCTTGCTTTAAAAGTAGAGCTGGCCCTCCATCTTCTATGATACAAAAACAAAAAAACAAAAAAAAACCCAAACAAACTAACAAAAAAAAAACCCCAACAAACCAAACAAACTAACAAAACCCAATATGTGCTTCATGCTACAAACAAATTGCTGTGTGCAATGGGCATCCCTTCCTATTGATCTAATGAAATATCAATTAGAGCCCATGCTATCGGTAACTGCTGTCTCAAAGCTCTGTCCCCATGTACAGTGTCATTCTTTAAAGTCTGAAATACCAGAAATGAGATGGTTTTAAGGCACTTAGGTATGTCATTGCCACTTCTTAACCTGTTTTAATGTAGCAAGTTGAAACAAAATCCAGTGATTTTTTGGCAATGGCAGTAAAAGCACCAAAATGAGCTTTTGTTGGTTTTGCCTGTTGGAGCCTTTCTTCCTGCTGCACTTCAAAGCCTCTTAGCCTCACTAGTTTCCTTCCTTCACACAAAATGTCAGTGTAGAAACTTCAGAAATGCCAGCTAGGTACTCTTAAAAGGTGTGAAACTGCTCCGTCCTTCAAATGTCAAAGTCCGCTACAGGGAAAGTTATTCGGGGGAATGACTGTTTAGTTTCAACTTCACATCCTACCACGTTCTAGGAGAATTTTCAACTGCAGACAGCCTTGACTAGATCAGCAGGTACTAAGGCCATTAGCTGACATCTTCCACAGCTGATTTTCATAGTGCTTTTATTGCATACAAGACTTTGTGACTTGTTTTCCTAGGAGGAATAAAAGGTAGAAAAGCTGCTAACATACCAGTCCGAGAGAAGGGTATCTGCCCTTCTGCGTGTGAGACTTCAGGGCTGTGTTTGAGCTTGGCTTGAAGCAAAGATCCTGCAGCTTGGAAACACAGGGCCATTCTTGTTAAGTGTTTAATATTAATTCTTTTGTTTATGAGATGTATGTAAAATGGTATTATCATCCATTTACTAAAGCTTAAGTAGGGCTGGAAGAGTTGTCAGGGCACCACCTGCCCCATGCTCTTCTGCTGAGCAGTGCCGGGACAGAGCACTCTTGGTGCTTTGTCCAACTTGTAAAAAAAAATCTCTAGTGAAAGAGCCTCCCAAGTGTGCTGTATTCTCCTT